TCCCTCCCTCCCTCCCTCCCTCCCTCCTTGGAGCTATTGAGTCAGGATGCCCAACTAAGCAAATTGATATTGTTTCAGGAGCAAAGATGGAGATATAAGTGGAACAGTGTGATACAAAGCAGGAGGGTGATGTAAAATAGTACATTTTGGTGCTTTCTTTAAAACTAACCTCAAATAACTTACATAGAAAGGTCTATCTGGAATTCCAGGTTTTTGTAGGATGAGTGCTGGACCATTGGATCAGCTCTCTAGGGTAGCAATCTTATTTTGCATGTGTACAAACATAAGGTTTATGGACCTGTATCTGTGGAATGGGGATGATGATACTTGCCCTGTTCTAAGAATGGTTTTAAATTTTCAGATACAGAGTAGTGAGACTGGGACTTTATTCTGTGTATGAAAATGCTACCATTAAAAATTAAATATGTTTATCCCATCCTTTATAAATTTTTTTTAGAATTCTTAAGCAGTTGTTTGAAACAGATGAAATTGCTGTAAAATAAACATTTCTGCTTAGGAGATTTAGTGTCAATTAGGTTTTGTTTTTTACCTGTTTTTTGAGGTGATTCTTCACTTCCTCACAGCTGAGCTACTGGGCACCTGAAGTCTGACATCCAAGGGGTAGAATAATTAGAGGAGAATTTGCATTGCCTAGGAATTAGCCTGATACTCTTCAGTCCTTGCATTAGGTCCCCCCATCTGAGAGCAGCCATTTCACAGCATGTTGGATAGTTCCATCAGGCCAGGTCCTACCTTCTGAGAGCACTTTTGTTTAAAACAGAGGTGGGGTATCTTGCTGGGGCAGACTCCAGATAGAAAGGTGCTGACTTTTGGGTACGTGTTTTGGAAAACATAGAGATAAATTGTTTCTGATAATCAGGCCCTAGGGCTGACAAAAGGAATTTTATTGTGCCTGATGGACCTCTTGAGTCAGGTGCATCACCCACCACCACCAAGGGAGGTGATTAACTCCATCATGGGTTAACATCCAAACAAAGGACTTTTTGTAGGAACATCCCTTGGGTTATCATCTCCAGCAGATAATCCAAGGCTGGATTTTAGTAAGTTGAAGCAGGATACCGTGCTACAACCATTCTGTTCCTTTGATGGTAGTAAGGTGTTTATTTCCTTGAGTTTCACAGTCTTTGAGACCTCCTTCACACAGAAAGCAGGACAACAAAATATCCCACCATATATCCCTGCCACAGAAGGTGTCTGGCTCAGATAGCAGGTCACACAGTAGTCATGACTTAGGTGCTATGTTGGATATCCAAGGTAGCATTTTTAGGAATTGCTTTGGCCTGAAAAAGCAAAGCATATTGTTTTCCCTTCCTAAAATAAAAACATGTAACATTCCTACAGCCCCAGAGAAACTGAGTTTTTTAGACTACTGTTTTTACCCACCTTGTTTATTTGGTGTCTCCCACCAGGACAATTTTCCTATTGTCACAAAATCTAGTACTTAATTTATCTCTATAGACCTCCTAACCAGGCTTCTCTTTTTCCAAAACAGCAAGAAAGACTTCAGCTGGACAGGCTGAAGAACCAGCTATCAGATGCCATCCAGAGATACGGAGCCGTGCAGAAGGTGAGGGTCTCATTTGCTTCCACTCTTCCATATGTGAATTGAGGAATGTGTTATATGGGAGCAAATGTGACTCCCAGGAATGTGGAGAATCTCCACAGAGCTGCTCACGTTTAGTTTCCTCCTTCTTTTCTTACTTTATCAGTCATGCAGTGTATCACGACATTGGGATATGCACAAGCAGGCAACTGCAGACAAAGTCAGCAGCAGTGGAAAAGCAAAGGAGCTTTTGCCAGCTGTGTCACCAAGATTGAGCTGTTTAATAAAAGAAACAAAACTTGAACTCCAGCTCTTTCATTTGCTTTTTGCTCCCCCACTTTACTCAAGGGAAGCTCTACTGATGAGCATTTTTGCTTTGCTTTGTAAGACTGTAGTAATGATTTAAACTTACCAGCCTGAAACTGCTTTTCTCCCTTCCAGTAACAAGTTTGAAAATATATCTGGATTAATTGAACCTTATGCAAATATTTCCTGGACAAACTCTGGTTGCTCTCTTATACTAATTTAGTGAGTTTGACCAGTGTCTGCAACACATCAGAAGCATATATTTTAATTATACAGGTGTAATGAAATTTGGCTGGCAACATGCACTTAATAATTTATCTCTATTAGAAACGTTCTGTACTGATTGATCTTCCAACACTTGCTCTTTAAAAGTAAAAAAAATAAAGCACAAAAAAATGCACTTCACCACATAACAGCATTGCATTATCTCTAGCTGTATGTTGTATTTTTAATTATTTCTCTGTCCTATGCAAAATCTTATGGCTTCAAATGAAATGATCCCATTCAAGGAGAAGCTGGAAAGATTCAGGTAAAAGGCTCCACCTCCATAAACACACACCTTTTTTTATCCTTTTCTTTGTTATGATCATGGGTACAATCCACGTGAACTGTATATGTGGCCAAGAAGGCAAATGGCATCTTGGGGTGCATTAGAAAGGGGGTGGTTAGTAGGTCAAGAGAG